ATTGTTTTCATATATGAAAGCTACCCATTTCTATATAGTAATTTTGTACCCCATTACCATACCAAATCCTGTTATTTATAATAGTTATTCAGTTAATTCTTTAGGGTTTACTGAACATACAGTTGTATAATTTTCAAATATTGATAGTTTAACCAGCTGCTTTACAGCTTTATACTTGAATTCTCTTTCTCTTGCCTAATGCATTGGTTAGTATTTCCAGAACAGTGTTAAATAAAAGCATTGGTAGTGGACACTCTTATCTTGTAACTCTCTGGGAATGTTCTAGTGTTTCTACAATAAACATGATGCTGGCTTTGAGACTGAGATAGATATATCTTATTATGTAAGGAAGTATCCATCTATTCATACTTACTGAGTGTTGTTTTGTTAAAAGACTAAATGGCTATTACATTTTGCAAATGCCCTTTTGGCACCTGAGTAAATATACTTTCCTTTTCTCTAAATCTGTTAACATAATGAAGTATATTACTAGAATTTTCTAAATTAAACATTTTGCACTCTTAGAATAACCCCACTAGTTGTGCTTTATTATTTAATGTATTGCTAGATTTTGTTCACTAATATGCTCTGCTTACTTTATGAAAATAATTTGGAAGTATTCATTCTCGGCCATTACTTTGGAACTATTTAAGTAGTAATAGAATTATAAGTTCTTAAATATTTGAGTCTAGTGGGTGTTTGTTTGTAGGAAGTGAAATCAAGCTATTTTGATCTTCTATCTCTGATTTGGACTTTAGCAAATGCTTTTCTTACAAGAAAATTATCTATTTCATTCAGATTTTCTAATTTGTTTGCACAGACTTAAACAAAGTAGTCTTATGATTTTTACAATTCCCCTCTTTCCAAGGTGACTTCTCTTATTATGTGTTATTTGTCCATCCTGAATCATTTATTTATTCAGACTTTTTTGTAGAATAGTTTCCTCAAACAGGTCTCTGGGTGATATGTTCTCTGATCTTTGTATACTGTCTCTGGAAAGAAGCAATATGGCAGGGAATGGGACTCTTGGGTCTCAGATTTGCTGTCCTTTTTGCCTATACGCTAGATATTCTGTAGATGTTATTCCATAAGTTTTTCCTTTCCATATAAGAAGTCTAATATGTTTTCCTTTCAAAATACCTTGTACTTTCTGTCTGGAAAATTCTAGAATTATTCTTTTACTCTTGGAATTCAGGATTGATATCACAATTACCTAATATAATGAGCCCTTCAATTTGCAAAATACTTTATTCATTAAGCTCAAGAGAATTTGTGTTTTCTTTTTATTTATTATGGCTCCTCTTCTTCTTTCAAGAATGCCTACTATTTATATATTAGATCTCTTGGATGAGTCCTTCAAAGCCATTATATTTTCTTCATACTTTCCAAATCTCTATAATATTGTTCTCTTTTGAGATATTTCTTTCAAACCGTCTTCTAAGACATTAATCTACCCTCACCAGTGACCATCTTCTGAATTTATCTCAAACGTCTTTTATTAAAATCTATGGGTTTTATTTATTGTTTTAATTATTTATTTATTTGACAGAGAGAGAGTGAGAGCAGGAACACAAGCAGGGCGAATGGGAGAGGGAGAAGCAGGCTTCCTGCAGAGCAGGGAGCCCAATGCGGGGCTCGATCCCAGGACCGTGGGATCATGACCTGAGCCAAAGGCAGACACTTAACAACTGAACCACTCAGGTGCCCCAAAATCTATGGGTTTTCGTACAAGGAAAGTTTTTGTGCTCTAATCAAATATACTTAAGTGTTTATGTGTGTGTGTGTGTGTGTTTATTTCTTAAGTGTTCCTATATTTTTAGTAAGGGTGGGAAACGAAGAGTACAAACTATTGTCTGCTTCCTCCACCAGTTCTTTTCACTAGGGGCCATCTACTTGGATGTTCTGCTTGTTTTTCTTCTCTAGGACTATCAGATTCTGTTACAAACATTGTTGTTTTTTCCTAAATACACCTTGGGGTTTGGGCCCAGCTGCCAGAGAACCATAAATAGAAACACTGTTCTAGGGGACAAGTATGGTGAGCTCCTATTAAGTTGTCATTCTTCTGCTGATACATCAGGAGGTAGTCTCTTTCTCTGAGACAGCCTACCTTTTTAACTGTCTCACCTCTCCTTAAAGGACTGAAAAAACAATTCCTCCAAATAGTTACACAGGTGTTAGTACCCTTTATTTAATAGGCCCAAAGAGCCCTTGTACCCAGCTTTCTTCCTTAATCTCATCATTCCAATCCCCATTCAAGAACTCCATGCCACTAGTCCCCGGGTTCTCTCTAGTTCCGGGGCAGGGGTTGAGGGGGCTGGGTGCAGAAACCCCATGACATCATTGTTCACTAGATCCAGACAGAGCTGAGACCTCACATTCTCCAGATCCTACTTCATGTGGGTTTTTGAACTGGAAGTGGAAGGGAGACCACCAGGGTTGAATTTAAGCTGTTCTATTGCCACTAGCCATTTTCCCACAAAGAGGAGGTTCTCATTCTACAACCTGTAAATGGGATCCAGGGGGATCCATGATCCTCTGAAATTACCATCAAATTATGTTTATTTATGTATTTATCTATCTACACATATATATGTTTCTGTGGAGTTTTTTAGAAAGTTTTTTTTTAAAGAATCTACTTTGTTTAGAGCAGTTTTAGTTTCACAGCAAAATTAAGAGGAAGATACAGAGACTTCCCATATGGCCCCTGCCCCTGCACAGCCTCCCCCATTATCAACATCCCCCACGTAAGTGGTATACTTGTTACACCTGATGAACCTACATGGACACATCATAATCACCCCAAGTCCATAGTTTACCTTAGGATTCACTCTTGGTGTTGTGCATTCCGTGGATGTAGACAAATGTATAATGACATGTATCCACCATTATAGTATCAAACACAGTATTTTCACTGCCCTAAAGGTCCTCTGTGCTCTGCCTATTCATACCTCCCCACCCCCAACCCCTGGCAATCACTGATCTTTTCATTGTCTCCATAGTTTTGCCTTTTCTAAAATGTCACATAGTTAGAATCATACGGGATGTGGCCTCTTCAGACAGTCTTCTTTAACTTAATAATACGCATATAAGTTTCCTCCATGTCTTTTCCTGGCTTGACAGCCCATTTCCTTTTGGTGCTGAGTAATATTCAATTGTCTAAAGGTACCACAGTTTATTTATCCATTCACCTACCAAAGGACGGATGCTTTGGTTTCTTCCAAGTTTGGGCAATTATGAATAAATCTTCTCTAAACATCTGTATGCAGGTTTTTGTATGATTAAAAGTTTTCAACTCCTTTAGGTAAATGCAGTGGAGCACAATTGATTACTTGATCACATGGTAAGAGTACGTTTAGTTTTTTAAGAAACCACAAAACTGTCTTCCATAGTGGCTGTACCATTTTAATTCCCACTAGCAATGAATGAGAGTACCTGTTGTTTCACATCCTCACCAGCATTTGGTGGTGTTAGTATTCCAGACTTTTACCATTCCTATAGATGTGTAGTAGTATCTTACTATTGTTTTGATTTGCATGTCCCTGAAAATACATAATATTGAGCATCTTTTCACATGCTTATTTTCCATTTGTATATGTTCTTTGGTGAGGTGTCTTTGGCCCATTTTTTAATCAAGCTGTTTGTTTTCTTATTGCTGAGTTTTAAGTGCTCTTTGTATATTTTGGGTAACAGTCCTTTATCAAATATGTCTTTTACAAATATTTTTCACCCAGTCTTTGGCTTGTCTTCTCAGTCTCTTGAGTTCAGAAGTTTTTATCAGATTCTCAAAATGATGTTAAGAATCACACTTTTCTAGACCCATACCTGAATTTGGTACAAATCCCCAATAAGTCAATATGTCAATAAGATGTAGATCACTCTAACTCCAGTAAGTAAAGAGGGTCTTACAGCCTCTCTGACACCAGGAATTATTGTTAAAAGTAAATATTTTCTATTTCTATGTCTGCACTTGGAAGATTACCCTTTGAAGAAAAGGCAAGTTCTTGGACCTAGAAGGAAATGACTTAAAGAGAAATAAAATAAGATATATTGAAATGTACTACAGTAAATAATAACCTCCATAGGGTGGCAAAAGTAACAAATATAAAACAGTTGTGGGTTCAGTGAGTTCAGGAATAAGAATTCAAAAAAGAGCTTTTTGAAGAGAAGTTAGAGAATTTTAAAGTAATGAAGTTAAGACAGGTTTATTTCCCCTCAAAAAAAAAAAAAAAAAGCCTAAAATTTCTTACATTTCTGCAGTGATATGTTAATGGTGATCCTTTGGCACTTGGCACTCCACTTTTAAATTTTAAATATATTGTTTTTTTTAAATCTCTTTAAAAATATACTACTGACTTTAATCAAAAGTAGGTCAGCATAATGTTTACTACATTATCTTTGAAACACAAGCCCTAGTAATTCTAATGGAAAAAAAAAAAAGATTTGATGCTTTTTTTATTTGAGATGAATATAAATAGAAAATGAACTTAAAAATATCTTCTTTGTCTCTACCAGGTAGAAAGAGAAAAATATACCCTTCCATATGCCTTAAATGGTTTTTAGTTTTTAAAATATATCCATACATTGTTTTTATACAAGTTAGTCTTTTATATGACCATAGCCCAGCTAAACCACTGGCAAGTGGGAGCAGAAGTGGAAAGGTTAGATCTTTCTAATGCAATCTACAATCCTCTACACAGTCCTCTTAAATTAACAAAAGCTCACCCTCATAAATATTAACCTATAAAAGTATTATCAAGAATTCATATAGTTCTTCTACACTTATTGCAGTGAGCAAGCATAATGTATAGAATTATTGATCACCCAAAACTAATGTAATATTGTATATGAACTATACTTTGATTTAAAAATTTAATTAAAAAATTCATATAGTTCTTAATTTTTCACCTATATATTAGAGATGATAAAAATACATGAATGGAAGCTTGCCTAATTTTCTAAAAGAAATGTGTATTTCTTTTTTTAAATGTCTTGATCATATAATGGGTATGTACAAATTTGGTCTTTCACTATACTCCATCCTTTTACCCTTCCTGTTTCCCTTTTATTAAATATGTGCTCAATGATTATTACTTATCATTGTTAAATGATGCATAATAAAAATCTGTGCTCAGGTACTAAAATCCAACTATCCTATTATCTTTTTTTTTTTTTAATTTACTTGAGAGAGAGAGAAAATGCGTGCAAGCTGGGGGAGGGGCAAAGGGAAAGAGTCCCAAGCAGACACCCCCCTCAGTGAGGGGCCAAATGTGGCGTTCTATCCCAACACTGAGATCATGACCTGAGCCAAAATCAAGAGTCAGGTGCTTAACCAACTGAGCCACCCCCAGGCACCTCTAGCTATCCAGTTATCTAGCCAAAGAGTTCCTATTAGTAGATGCAAAGAAAATAAATATAGAGCAGTGATAACAGGTATCACTGAATGATCAGAGTTTATGTCCACAAAGCCAGATGCATCCATCCTAGCACTGCAACCACAACCAACCCATCAGGAACAGTGCTCATCGTGAGACCTATAAGCCATCCTGATTTAAAGCATTGTCGTCTTACCACCACTTGCTGGGAATTTCCTCTCCAGCTCCCAGGCTGTCTTCAAAATGAATTTCTATACCAAAGGAACTCTGTTTAACTATGCTATATTTCTTGGTTTCAGATGGCTATACCACTGATGACATTGAGTTTTACTGGAATGGAGGAGAGGGAGCAGTAACTGGAGTTAATAAAATTGAGCTTCCTCAGTTTTCAATTGTCGACTACAAGATGGTGTCCAAGAAAGTGGAGTTCACAACTGGTGAGGACATTTCCCCAAAATGAACTAGGGGCACTGTGAAAGAAAGAAGATGATTCCTACCAAATAGAGATCTGATTTTTTTTTTTTTCTTTTTTCTTTTTTCTTTTTTTAACTCAGGGGCATATCCACGACTGTCACTAAGTTTTCGTCTAAAGAGAAACATTGGTTACTTCATTTTGCAAACCTACATGCCTTCCACACTGATTACAATTTTGTCCTGGGTGTCTTTTTGGATCAACTATGATGCATCTGCAGCCAGAGTTGCACTAGGTAATGCATTCCCAGCACTGCAGAGAGCTGGTAGGACTTCACTTCAACCAACCAACCAACCAATGTTAGAAATTATAGGCACGGGCTTCTCTCAGAGCAAGTTAAAGAATGAGATTACCATAGCAGTCCTTGATAGTAAAGCATCTAAGTGTAAGCATTTTCAGGATGAATGTTTTACAATGCAATATCTTTTTAGCATTTTACAAAAAAAAAATGGAATATATTCAATACTAACTATATAAGTGCTTCTTAGAGTCTACTTTTAAATTCTCATTACACTAATTTTTACTAACTTTGTGATGATTTCCTCTTTGGTCCCTGCTTTTTATGGTGAAGAACCGTATCATTATTCTCAAAAGGATTTGGAAAAGCTAAACCTGTGACTATTAACAAGTTATGTCAATGGTTGGGCAATACTATCTTCTTTTTTTTTTATTGTGTTATGTTAATCACCATACATTATTCATTAGTTTTTGATGTAGTGTTCCATGATTCATTGTTTGTATATAACACCCAGCGCTCCATGCAGTACATGCCCTCTTTAATACCCATCACCAAGCTAACCCATACCCCCCTCCCCTCTAGAACCCTCAGTTTGTTTCTCAGAGTCCATAGTCTCTCATGGTTCGTTTCCCCCTCCAATTTCCCCCCCTTCATTTTTCCCTTCCTGCTATCGGAATTTTTTTTTTTTTTTTAACATATAATGTATTATTTGTTTCAGAGGTACAGGTCTGTGATTCAACAGTCTAACACAATTCACAGCACTCATTATAGCACATACCCTCCCCAATGTCTATCACCCAGCCACCCCATCCCTCCCACCCCCCACCACTCCAGCTACCCTCAGTTTGTTTCCTGAGATTAAGAATTCCTCATATCAGTGAGGTCATATGATACATGTCTTTCTCTGATTGACTTATTTCGCTCAGCATAATACCCTCCAGTTCCATTCACGTCATTGCAAATGGCAAGATTTCATTCCTTTTGATGGCTGCATAATATTCCATTAAAGTTAGGGGCGCCTGGGTGGCTCAGTCGTTAAGCGTCTGCCTTCGGCTCAGGTCATGATCCCAGGGTCCTGGGATCGAGCCCCGCATCGGGCTCCCTGCTCGGCGGGAAGCCTGCTTCTCCCTCTCCCACTCCCCCGCTTGTGTTCCTGCTCTCACTAACTCTCTCTCTTTGTCAAATAAATAAATAAAATCTTTAAAAAAAAAATATTCCATTAAAGTTAAATCATATGGAACTGAGTTTCTCTTAAATGTAGCTCATCACACCTGAATAAGGCACAGACTTTCATCAGCTATATTAATGATCTGTGATCAGGATGGAATAAAAAATGGTTTCCTTCTTTAAGGAACAAAATTCAAAATTAATCTTGCCATAGTTGAATAATTGCTGCAAGCTGAAAGGCTATATTTGAGACTTTAAAGGGTTCCTTGGAAAGTCAGAATACGAAAGGTCTGTTTGATGAATCTGAGCATGTGTGGGTCTGCCTCATTATTTGATCCTAGAGCCCTTTCAGTTATCATTTTGGGGGGCTTATTCTCATACATGCGTGCTCATGAACGCAAGTGTGCACACACACACTCCAAATATATAACAGCATCATTTCCAGCGAAGCGGACATATACATCACTTCTTTTGAGATTGCTGAACTTGGTTAGATGCTCAGCATACCCTTTCATACCTAGACTAATTGTCATCCCTATAGCTTATTTCTAATAGCTGAGTAATTTCTAATGGCTCACAAAGTCAGCCCTTCTCAACCTTTGAACATTCCAAAACTAAGGAAAGCCAACAAATAGTTTATCACATCATAGGTATGATTCTGCACATATTATTTAACTACAAACATGAGTACGGGTATACTAGGGTTAAAGAAAAAACAGTGGATGATGTCCACAGCAGGGAATAATAACTATCAAGGTCATGAATTGTGGTTCTCTTTACATATCTATCCTCAAAGCTAATGATATTTTGATTAAAGATGTCAGCACATAAAAATGCTGATTTAATCTTTTCTTTGAAATGTAAAATAGGGGCTATTTTAAAACTTAACTAAGTAAAAAAGGCATTTATTTACTAGCCTTTCTTGCCTAAAAATTTAAACCAAGGAGTAGAAACAGAAGTGTGATTAGTGGATTTGTAAATGAACTATTTCTACTAAGGACATTGGCTAGAATTACATTAGGTAAAATTTAAAATTTTATTGAAAGAAATAAGTAAGACCATTCATGATGGCATTTCATAACAGTGCAGCACATTTTAATTCATCACTGATCTGAACCATTTTAACTTTCTGTATGGTAATCCTGACTTCCTATTTTATCTGTTCTCCTGAAAGTTAAATAGTCAAATCAGGGAATTTATCTAGAATAATCTGACGGGCAAATGAGTGCTAAACTCTTTTTTTCCCCTTTTCATTTTCTACCTCCCATTCTCTTTGCCAGCTGTCTTTTGTCTTTAATGTTCATTTTAACATTTCCTGTCTTTATTTTTAAGGACTCTCATCAAATTTCAGGTTTTATCTTCTCCTCTTTTTGCTTTTATTTTAAATGCCTTTGTTTAACACCTCCTTGCTTTTTTGCCCCTAGCTAGGTGATCTACAGCAAAATAGCTAATCTCAGAGTTTCTATTTATTCAGCTATACCTGCCCTATCATACTCAGCAAGCTGTTATGACAGCCATATAAGATAATGCATACTGTGTTTAAAACTGTAATATGATATATAAATGTGTAATATTAGTATTGCAGCATGAATTATCTACATCAGGTTCCAACTTCCTTTTCACTTCTTGTTATTCTCAATTATATTTCATCACCACCGTCATCAACACCAAATATTTATTATGCAGCCATGCAAACATTATATGATTAAGAAAGCTGTTTTTAACAAAGTAGACAAAACAGAATTTTCCTTTTGAAAGTGTATAGTCTTAACCTTCTTCACAAATCCAAGCTGAATTTTTCAGGAAGTCTTTTCTTGATTCCAGGGAACTAATTCATTCTTGACTCTCGAATCAAGAAGTAGAGGTAATATTTGAAAAACCAAAGCAACAAGATTATATCTAAAAATGACATAAATCAAGTGCTTGATGCAAATCATGAACTTCCTTACATATTTCTTCTTTTAGGATTGTCTCACTATGAATGATATGTTATCAGTGTAATAATGTGTAATACTGACCTTGTGGCCTGGGTGTGTTCTAGATACATGGAATGAAGTAGCTCTCCTCAAATTGGTCACCAACTCTCAGTTTGGTAGTGGCTGTTGTGGGCATTAATATCACAAGAACAGATTTAGTAGGAAAATGAGGGAGATGCCGAGAGAAGGAAGATGTGGTATGTAACAGAACAAGGGACATTTTGATAATAGACTAAGCATATCAATAGGATTTTGATCTGCCGTTCCATTTACTTTTCTTTTTCCTATATGCATTATTTTTAAAAAAATGTTTTCCAATCCTCCATTAATGGTACACCCTGTTTTATGATTTGTTCATGGACTGTATGGGGAGCCTGCAACTTTGTCTTCCCAAATGTCTACTCTTTTCGCCCAGTGGTTTATGGCATTACTGACGTCATTCTGGGGCACCTATAAGGAAACGCATCTGTCTTCTCAGTCTTTAAAGGGCAGCTTAATAAGTGCATTCAGCTAAGCTGTGTCTTTCTGTTTAATAGGAATCACCACCGTGCTGACAATGACAACCATCAGCACTCACCTCAGGGAGACCTTGCCAAAGATCCCTTATGTCAAAGCGATTGATATTTACCTGATGGGTTGCTTTGTGTTTGTGTTCCTGGCTCTGCTGGAATATGCCTTTGTAAATTACATCTTCTTTGGAAAAGGCCCTCAGAAAAAGGGAGCTAGCAAACAAGACCAGAGTGCCAATGAGAAGAACAAACTGGAGATGAATAAAGTTCAGGTAATGTATTAAATATTCCCAACAATGTTCTTCCAAAATTTATCAGCAGCATGGTGCTCAAGGCTCCCATAACAGGAAAAAAAAAAAGAAATTTATCTTCAATACGGCTCAAACACCACTCCCTTTTACATATTTGAGAACTGAGGATTGAAGAAGTTAGGTTGAAGTTAACATAGATTAATAACATACCTGGGCCTAAAACTCAACCCCAAGTCCATTATCCTTTATTGTAAACTATATAGTTGTAAAACTCTGTGCAGAAGGATAATGCCAGATTTGCTTGATAAATAAATGAGAGAACTAAAGTTAATCAATTCTGTACTAAGTGGAAATATAGAAATATGGCCCAGTGGTTACAACCACAGACTGGAATTAAACTGCTTGAGTTTTATTCCCAGCTCTGCTTCTTACTGACTTTATAACATCAGGCAAATCAACCTATGTGACTCCTCATGTTACCTCTGTTCTCAGGTCATCATCCATTAAATGGAGATTATTATAGTATACCTACCTCACAGAGTTGTTATAAGGACTAGATGAATTTTTTTAAAGCCTAATATTTGTAACAATACCTGGAACATAGTGAGTGCTCATTATCACTATAGCTAGCTAGCTCTTATCATTATAGATAAGACATTGTCACTATTTTTCTTTCACTTTTCATTGGTAGATCTTATGACCTGTGCTTTTGCTGGATGGAATTAATTAAAATTAATGTCTTTTTTATTCTTTGAGAACATCTCTTTAGCCTCTACTTCTATGCCATGTTTCACTGAAATCAAATTAAAATTATGTACAGTGAAATACTGTATCTACTATAAATTGTTTTCAAGATGGCCCACAGGATGACAACTCAAATATTCACTCGTTTGGCCACTGTTCTGAGCATTGGGTATACTTCTCTGAAGGAGACAAATTTCCTGGCTCTCATAGAGTTTAGATTCTATTGTGGGAAGACAGGCAATAAACATGTAAACACATATTAAGAGGATAATTTCAAGTTGTAGTAAGTGCTATGAAGAAAGTAAAACAGAGTGATGGGTAAGTGAATCATTTGGATTAGATTCAAGGGAACAAGGAACAAAGAGCAGGTGATCAGGAAGACCTCTGTGAGATGTTACCACTTGATCTGAGACCTAAGTGATGAGCAACAGTAACCATGCCATGACCATTTCAGGCAGAGGAAATGACAAGTGACAGAGACTCTGAGTAAGGAATTTCTTGATGTGGGAAAGTACCAAAAGAAGACTAGTGTAGCAAGGGCATAGCAAGTGAGGGAGGAAATGTAGTATGAGAGGTGGTTGGAGAATCAGGCAGAGCCAAACTATAAATCTTTAAGATGTATCTTCATGCTTTTTAGTGGGATACCAAAACTGGACAAACACTGTCAGGTAACTAGAAAATTATAGGCAAAATACCAAACAGATTCAACCAAATGGTCAAAATCTGAAGTAACTCATTCAAATAAATTTTTACTCTTATGTGAAATATTATGCTGGATTCTATGGGAGAAGGAGGAAGCGTGATACTTGCCCTCAAGAATCTTCTGATATTTCTGGGAAAGATAATTATACTCATAGGAGGCAATTAGATTATAAAATGAAACAGGACAGCACCTACCTTGAGGAGCATATCTGAAAGGAAAAGGCTTCCCGTTGTCTGATTGTAACCATACCAGACTTAAAAGTATGTTGAGCAGAAGATTTGAAGACTCCTCATTTCTGTTCCCATTCCTAGCTCAGTTGCCTTCTAAACCAAAGCTGATCCTCTGCATGGCTTGGAATGTGTGTTAATTGATATATCATGGAGGAAAGGCCTACATCAATAAGGTTCACTGGTAGGAAAATCCAAAGATATGAACTGGATGGGCATTCAAGACAAGGAGAATTTGGAAGGTAACAAGGAGAAAAGAGGGTCTTCCAATCAGCTAGGAAAGCAATGTTCTCTAGAAAGGTGATTAAATGGAAAGCGCAAGCAAACTGAAATCAATTCCTTCAGATCATTTAAAAAGAGCATAAAACAAACTTTAACCAAACTCTTTGGCTATTGCCTTGATTCTACCCCAGGATATTAAAGAACTTTTCTAAGGTGCTATGGGACAAATAAAGGCAAAAGGAAAGCCTTGTGTGTCATATGATACCTAGATGTATAATATATATTGCTCTGAAGAAGACTTAGTGACTGGAAAATAAATGAGTAAAATGTGTCTGTCTAACTGATCTTTACTTCATAAGCAGTCTGTTTGAGTAACACTGGGCTCAAACATAATAAGATTTCACTGGATCTCAAATCAGGAAACTTTTAGTCCAGGCGAACTGGTATTTTAAATTTTAATCCCAGTAGAAAGCGTAGAAAAATCCAACAATTGTCAGGAGATGAAACACTTAAAGAAGATAAAAATGCGTTTTTATCCATGGAAAGCTAGACTAAAAACTCCACAAATGCTTTTCACAGAAACACAAATAGACAAAATTATGCCAAAGTTAATAAACAAATCATGTTAAGATATGAAAAAGTAGTATATATTGGCCTAACCCTCCTGTGGATTAAAAATTATAAACCTTGAGCAAAAATTTATTAAAATCTGCTTGAAGAGATAAGAGAGTAACTGAAAAGAAGCAAAAACTAAAAGAGAATCAACCCTCAAAGGAAGGGAATGACACTGTGTGAAATCTCTATTTATACATCTTTGCCCTGAGGCCTCTCCCCAGTCTGGGGGATGTGGGACAGCAGAACTTCAGAAACAAAACAAAACAAAACAAAAATACAAAAAATTACAGTTTTATTGGTCTGATGAGTCAGAACACGGAGTTTGATACTTCCAGAGTTCCTAAAAATCTTGGAAAGAAGTGAGCCACAAGAGAAATTCAGAATCTGAATATAAACTTCCCACAAATCCGTGGTTGATCCCTGAACTACAAATGTACAAAACACTAAGAAGTCTGGAAAGGAAAAATAGCTGAAAGGCTGAAAAAGAACAAAAGTAAGAGATTCTCTTTGAGTTGAGAAAAAACTAAAATAGACTCACCCTAACTACACATAAAACCAAGTCACTACACATTCCAGGTGACCTATTAGTAATTTAACTGCCCATTAAAACAAAACCCAACATTTGTCAGGGAAAATAACAGAATCTAGAATCTCTATAGTGCATCTTCAACATAGTTAATATGTAATGAAAAATTACTAGGCGTGAGAAAAAAACAGGAAAACATGCTCAAGAGAAAAAAATTAGTCATTAGAAACAGAATTTCAAAGTCTCATTGTTGGCTTAAAAGATAAGGACCACAATTAATAATAATAACTATAATTACTATATTTAAAAATTCATAGGAAATAGCCAAAAACTGAAAATAACTGGAATATCCTATGATAGGCAAATGGTTAAACAAACTGTAGTATATTCATAATATGGAAGACTAGCTCAATAAAATGTACTATTGATACATACAACAACTTGAATGGATCTCAAGGCCATTATGCTGAGTGAAAAAAAAAAAAGCCCATCATAAAATATTACACACTGTATGATTCTATTTATATAATGTGCCTGAAATAACAAAATTATAGTGATTGAAGAACAGATTAATTATTGCCAGGAGTTAGTGATGGAGGGGAGGATTGAGTGTGATTGATTATAGCACACGGCAGATCTTTGCAGTGATGGAGTAGTTCTGTATCTTGCAGTGGTGGTTATGTGAATCTTCACATGTAATAGAATTACATAGAACTAGACACACTTTATACCAATATCCGTTTCCTAGGTAATATTGTACAATAGTTAAATAAGATGTAGTCAATGAGAGAAACTGGGTGAAGGGTATATGGGACATTTTTGTGCTATCTTTGCAACTTTCTAGGAATCTACAATAATTTCTTTTTTTTTTTTTAAGATTTTATTTATTTATTTGACAGAGAGAGAGACAGCGAGAGAGGGAACACAAGCAGGGGGAGTGCGAGAGGAAGAAGCAGCTTCCTGCCAAGCAGGGAGCCCGATGTGGGGCTTGATCCCAGGACCCTGGGACCATAACCCAAGCCGAAGGCAGACGCTTAATGACTGAGCCACTCAGACACCCCGGAAACTACAATAATTTCAAAATAAAAAGTTTAAAATAAAGTCCATAGGAAGAGATTAATATAATATATGAAGAGATGCAGAGTTTCAGAAAAAGATTTGAAACTATGGAAAAGAACCAATGGAAATCATAGAAGTGAAAAATGCATTAGATGGATTAGCATCAGATTTTATACAACAGAAGAAAGGATTAAAAAACAAGAAGAATAGGGCGCCTGGGTAGCTCAGTGTGTTAAGTGTCTGACTCTTGATTTTGGCTCAGGTCATGATCTCAGGGTCATGAGAGCAAGTCCCATGCTGGGCTCTGCGCTGAGCATGGAACCTTCTTAAGATTTTCTCTCTCTCCCTCTGTCCCTACGCCCCCCACGCATGCATACTCTCTCTCTCTCTCTCTAAAAAAAAAAAAGAAGAAGAAGAAAGGATTAGTAGAATTAAAGGTACTATTGACCATCTCTCAAGTTTTTCATTGCACTAGTTCTTGTCATAAATGTTACTACCTCAAGGATGCCTTAGCTGACCACCCACCCCCCCGCCACTGTTAGTTTATATTTTGTACCGTTGTTCTTTGCCCTCACCACATCCTGTGCTTTTCCACCATAGGATTTACCACAATAGTGAATACATGTTTACTTAATTATTTTTTAATGTCTATCTCTCTATTAAACTGCAAGTTTCCCAAGGATTAGCATCGAGGTCCTTGTCTATTATGTTTGTTGCTCTTTACTCAGTGGCTAGAACAGAGAAAAAAACAAATAAATATTTGTTGAATGAATGAGTTCTAGAGAACCCTTCTCCACTCAGGATGAGTTCTTAGATACCACCCAAGTTACTGAATGTTACATTGTAATGTTTTATAAAACCCACCCAAGTTACCTAATGTTACATCATAATGTTTTATAAAACCCTTACATATTCATAATAAGTA